CCAAAGTGTTTAGGGCTGATATTTTATTTTATGAATTCAACTAAGTATTTAACACCAGACGCACATGTCTGTAGTATTCTTTCCTTACTCCCTCCTTTATTTGAACTTGCTGTATTCCATCTCTTCTGTATTTATAGTCTTCAAGTTCCCGTTCTCTAATCTTTGTGACAAAATCTAGATCTATTGGATATGTTTCTGTAATTCCCCCTTTCTTGAATGTTACTTTTGCATATTTAGCTAATCTGAAAGCCATACCGATGTTATCACTCAAACATTTTACACTATTGAGGAAACCTTTCAACTCATTATCGTCTTTGGAAAAGAGTTTGATATCATCCATGCAGAAGAGGTAATTAAACACTTTCTTTTTGACTTTGTATTCATAGTTATTAAGAGGTATTAAGAGAAGACAAAACAGAAGGCGACAGAAAGTCTCTTAGGAAGGTTCCTCGTCGGATATTCAAACAATTGGACGTGGCAGTGCCTATGGTGGGATTTAGATATAATATAGCTTTCCACAGTTCTATACCATATTTAAGGAAATTTAATATCACCGAGGAAATTGTATATATCCAAAGCCTTAAGGATCCATGTGTGTGGCACATTAACAAAGTCTTTATGGTAATCTATCCAAACTGTGCTGAGATTTCTACCTTTTCCTGCAGTCTTTCAAAACCATGTCATTTACCAGTAGTTGAACTTTTCAGCCATATGAACCTCTTCGACATTCCTTCTGTTCCAGGGGAAGAATGTTGTTTTCATCGAGAAAAAAGTAAGTATAGTTTGTCAGGACAGACGTGATCAATTTATATGTGATGAACAGACATGTTATTAACCTATCATTTTTGGATCATCTCTTTCACCCAATTTTGTTAGGAGATTTGTAATACCTTCAGTGATCCTTTCTGGAATTTCACTGGGGTTATAAATTAGCATTGATAAAGTTCGTCTAAGCGTTTTATGGATTGATGACATGATAGTTGAGTATTTTATCATTTCCTGGGAATTTTCCATTTTGGGATTTTGTTAAAACTTGCCTAAAATTCTTCTTGGTTATATTTTTTCCATCCTTGTACAGGTTTATCCTTCATTCTGTTTTGTTCTTGTTTGATCCACTCTGCATTAGGGTTATATTCCTTTTGGTTGCTCCAAATATTCTCCCAAAATGTTTGCACTTCTTCAATAGATGGTGACTTTTTGACTTCTATAATTGCTTTTCCAATTTCTCTGTAAAATTTCTTGAGGTCTGTTTGGAATATCTTACCTACAACGCTTTTCATATCGTCTTCTTTGTGCCATTAATTACATTTTATGTTTAACTATTTCCTTGATTAATGAAATTTCATTTGCTGCTTTAATTTTATATTTCCGCTTGATCTTCCTGCTTTTCCGTATTGAAACATTTGAATTTTTTTAAATCTCATCTAGTATCGATAATTCTCATCTGATTTCTTCAATTTCTCGCTTTCATTTTGCTTTCTACGTGGACTCTTTTTGTTTATTGCTTAATCTTTTATTTGTGTTGGCATTATGTTTTTCAGTAGCTGCTAAAGCTGTTGTATATATGATATTATTTACGTCTGTGATGTTTTCCGGGGGCCTGTCCGTTAACAGTGTTTACAATGCAGCGTTATATAGGGTGACCCCAAAAAACGGGAACTTTTTAACAATCCAATAAAACCAAGAGTGATGGAAGAAAAATATTTTATTCATAGTAATTGAAACCTTAAAATGTGCCATTTAAAAAACAATGACGGAATTTTCATTTTTTAAAAATTACGTCCTGTAGATGGCGTCCTCCTGTACGAATGCATTCTTGAAATCTGCTGTTGAGATTCCTGATTGACTGCTGCAACATCTCAGCTGGGATACTGTGAATTTCCTCTTGAATTCTAAATGGCAAAATGTTTACTTGCTCAAGGTCACTGTCTGGCAGTGTTGCCACTTGCTCATGTCTGGCAATACGCACTTCAAAAATTCCCGTTTTTTGGGGGGGTCACCCTGTATGTTTGCACAGTGTGTCTATTGAACTTTATCATACGAATTTTTGTCTTTTTCTGACATTTGTGTTCAAGTTACTTACTGATTATATAAATGATGTGGCTTTTCCATTCAGTGATTTCAACCCTGTTGTTTTCAAGGTATTCTGCTCTGTTTGATTCATCTTCATCAGTGACAGAATCTGAATCAGTGAAATTGTTTATGTCGCAGCCAGATTCCTCCATTTCATTTCCCGATAGATCATTATTTCGTATCTCATTTATTTTACTTTCTATCTTATCCTTTATATATTATCTATTTCCACTCTTGTGGTGTTTTTCTTTTTGTTTAGGTTATGGCTGATTGTATTTTGGTTTATATTTAATTTTATCTTATCTATTTCTGTATTTGAGAGTCTTTTAATCAAATAACAGAAAATTTAAAGGTAAACACGATCACCATCATGTTACATTTCAGTTGCATTCTATTCACGCTGGCTCCTTTTCATTCGTTTTGTCGCGTTGATTACCAGTACAACCATACTCCTCAAAACAAGCGACTTTTATACAAAGACTTGTGTTTTTTTTATATACTTTTTATACATGTACGCAATTTTTAAACATAACTCCATGATGACAGATATAATGTCGAAAAACATTGTTAAATACTGTCTTTTCTTTTTCTTTTCTTAAATCGTGCACTTCTTTAAGTGTATTATTATTATTATTAAACTTTCTTTTTCAGCACAGTTTTCAAACGGAAATCGTGTATCATGAGTGTTCCCGTATGACTTCAAATAAATTACACTTTTCGCTGAATATTTGCATTACTAAACAACGCAGACTTCTGAAGTGATGGAATACTCGTCTTTATTCTAATTTTCACAATATAGAATTTTAAATTTCATAGTTTAGAACCCAACGCCCCAATGAGAAAACAATTGTGGTCAGAATAACCAACTATTATTATTATTATTATTATTATTAGCCAAACCCGGGCTTATGCACATTTGTCTTAATAATATTTTAAAATAATTCAGCAGATGATATTTTTATTTATTGTAACTGGATTTTTTGGCGATTGCTTTACTTGGTTTCCGTCGTTCTATACTGTATGTTTGAAAAATGGCACTTTTATCGCGGCCGCCCCTCTTTTTTTTTGCCTTTTGGCTAAGATCAAAATGTAGCATCTCTATCTATCTATGTATGTATGTATCTATCTATCTATCTATCTATCTACTTCTATATCCTCTTCTTTCTTTCTCACTTAAACCAAGTAGTTTCTTTCCACGCGATCAAAACGCAATATTCCATTATTTCTGCGTTTGAAAATGCCGTTTTATCGCGGTCGCCCTCTCTTCTCGGCCTTTTGGCTAAGATCAAAGTGTACTATCTGTACTTATTAGTTTAATGATTCTCTCCTCCCTCTCTCTCTCTCTCTATATATATATATATATATATATATATATATATATATATATATATATATATATATATATATATCCCTTCTTTCTTTCTTTCTTTCGAAATAGTCCATTATACTGTATGTTTAAAAATGCCGTTTTATCGCGGTCGCCCTCTCTCTCGGCCTTTTGGCTAAGATCAAAGTGTACTATCTGTACTTATTAGTTTAATCTGATTCTCCCCCTCTCTCTCACATATATATATATATATATATATATATATATATATATATATATATATATATATATCCTTCTTTTTCTTTCGAAATAGTCCATTATACTGTATGTTTAAAAAATGTCGCTTTTATCGCAGTCGCCCTCTTTTCTCGGCCTTTTGACTAAGATCAAAGTGTAGTATCTGTACTTATCAGTTTAATCTGATTCTCTCTCACTCTACTTCTATATCCTCTTTTTTCTTTCTCACTGAAACCGAATAGTTTCTTTCCCCTCTTTCCACGCGATCGAACGGAATAGTTCATTATTTATGAGGTATTGGCAGAGCGTAACGGTCGTGCGAAAAAACGAAGCGAGTGACAAGCATAATTATAATAAGTTTGTTATCATACCTCTGCCGCACGATTTTCCTTTTCACCTTGAGCACGTGCATTATTGGTGCTCTTCATCAAGCGTGCGTTCTCAAACAGCTCCATTCGCAAAACATTTGCAGTGCTAAGTAATACTTAAGAAGCAATTGGATACACGGCCTTATTATGATTTTCTTAATGTAGGATTTTAAATTTGGTGGTATAAATCCCAACTCCCCAATGATAACTGGGGCAATTATAGCTTGAATGTCTATTGTTATTATTAGTGAATATTTTAAAATGAGTGATTTACGACTAATTAATATAATCATCTTATTTTGGGTTGTTTTACGGAAGTATATTATCATCTTTTAGCAAAGCTTCTGTTTCGATTAGCTTGGCGATTGCTTAATCGTCACGGCAAGCCTCAAGGTAGTGGCAAGTGATCCGAATGTAAAAATCCCTCGTTTCCTTGACAACACACCGTCAACATTCTATGTTGACAGATGGCGTCTCGATTTTTAGCACTAATAATGTACAACTGTTCAATATTTAAGCAGATGATATCCCCCAATATAATATTAAGATTAATAGCACCTGCTTTTTTTCTGATTAGCCAGAAATTTTTACCACCATAGAACTTAGTTAAGTAACACTGGATCTACGAAATGCTTAACGAATGAAGCAGTTGTAACAACTAGTAACGTGAGGCTTGTTTGTTTGTTACATCAACAGTTATCCAACAATATCACTCGATTTTATTGATTAATTTATTTTACGGTTTATCAACTTTTTTCAGGTTATTTAAAACTAGAAAATATTTTTAGACTGTAAGAATTTTTTGGAAATAATAATGATTTTTACGGATGCAAATTCTAATAATTAACCCGTAACGAGAAAAGATGTGTATTCATAACTTTCCCAAGAATATTTGCTCGTAAGGGAATATAACGAACCCAACTGAAATTGGAACTCGGATTTCCAATTTCCAATTCTAAACCGTTATCCATTACACCACCCACTCATCCAAGCTTGTATTCCCAAGCGGTCACCCATTTAGGTACTGACCAAGCTTAACGTTGCTTAACTGCTATGATCGTACGAGAACCAATGTTTCGACGTGATATGGCCGTAATCCGAACCACCCGCACATCTAAGCTTACAGCCTCTGGTATTCCCAAGCGGTTACTCATCTAGGTACTCAACCAGGCTCGACATTGCTTAACTTCGATGATCGTACAAGAACCGGTGTTTTGACTCAATATGGACGTAAACAAAACCACCCGCATATTTAAGCTTACAGCACCTGGTATTCCCAAGTGGTTACTCATCTAAGTAGTAACCAGGTTCGACATTGCTTAACTTCGGTGATTGTACAAAAACCAGTGATTTGACTTGATATGTACGTAAGTCAAACCACCTACATATCTAAGCTTACAACTGGTATTCCCAAGCGGTTACTCATCTAGTTATTGGCCAGGCTCAACATTGCTTAACTTCGGTGGTCATTCGTGAACCAATGATCCGACATGATATGGCTGACTGTCATTTTTCATGCTCTTCTACTATTCCTGCTCCTGAAAGGAGATGCAGAGATTTTTTCAAAAAGATCGTTTCTAATCGAACGCACCAAACGGCACCTTTACCATCTCGGCAACCCTGAATCAATTGCACAAATGTAGCAAATATAAGAAGGTACTTTAATAAAGATATGATGATAGCGCAGTGGTTATCGAGACGGAAACTGAGATTTTGCGGGTCGAGTTCAAATTCACTTTCGCACTAAAAAAAAAAAAAACATAGAATAGGCTATGCTAGAAGTACTTTTGCCCAACACAAAAAAATTATTACAAAACCAAGGAATTAATCTGAAATCATGTTTTTAAATAACCTTGTCAGATCGATGTCAAACAGTTTTTGGGGTTTTTTTTTATTTAGTTAATCTACCTCGGACATTCATGAGTCTATCACACCAACCCTCACGGTCCTGCATTAAGGTCGGAAGATCATTAGGTTGGCATTCTGTGTCATAACATAGCTGGTCAATGTAGATGATTATTGGGTGACAAGCTCGTCTTGCGCCATGACTAGATGTCCGGAGAAGTAGATCACTCACGTGTTCTTGTTGCCTCGCCAGTAGTGTCCTGCAAAATGGAAGTTGTCTCCAAGAGATGTTAAGTATACCTCTCAGGATCCAAGTGTAGGTTACATCAAGCTTAGACTGAAGGGTTTAGTTAATGTCCAAGCAGTGACATCATACATTAAAACCAAATCTACAGTGGCGCGAAGAAGCTCCGTTTCAGGTTGCCTGGTAGATCATATTTCCAGATATTCATTTTATTCAAGGCGGCTCAGTTATGCAAATTTTCACATCCTTTTCAGTAGAATTTATGTCGCTTCCTAGATACGCAAAAGATTCAACAAATTTTATTGTTTCACCTGAGATAGTTTGTATTGAGCCTTGTTGGTTGAAACCCATGAATTTAATTTTAGTGGGATTGACATAGAGTTCAACATCATTAGCAGAATTTTCTAGATGATGTGGGAGAACTTTGGCTTTGGTAATGGTGTATCCCTGTCAGGAATATCTAAATTGCCTGCTTTATAACAACCACCTTCTAAGATAAATTGTTAAAATATCTTTGAGCTAGGGAAGCCTATGGATCTTGGTGAAGACTACATTTATTCGAAACTTGTGGACTGGCGCTACAGAATCACCAACAAGGAATTGTACCAAATAAGAGAAACCACGTCATACGATGACTATCAACAAAAGCAATAACTAAAATGGATACCACATGTAACTCGACAGAAAATTATGACATAATCAAGATGTTCACATTCCACACCACATCAAATAAAAGGTTAGGAAAGAAAATTCCATCAACACTGGAAAGAGGCATAGCAGCTACTGGACTTGAGAAACTTATTTTACTGAAAAATTATTTTAAGAGAAAGATTTTATAATTTTGAACCAAAAGTTGTACAAGGAAGCGGCTAATATTACCATTGCCCTTGGAAATGTATAAATCCTTCCCTTCGAATCCAGTCAATAGTAGGCAGACTAGATTCTCTAGCATTGGTTGGTAACCAGGAAGACATTTCTGAATTCAAAACCGGTTAGGCGTGAGGTTAGTAGCTCTATCCCTTAAAAACAAACTTGCTGTAGAAACCACGGTAGCGACGCTAGAATGGTGAAACTGTGTTCCTATAATCCACGTGGGAGTCTACAAGACTAACACTACAGGCAAAAAGGTTGGGCCACCCTGCATTTCATTAAAATGAGATATTTTCTATTTTTAAAGTAAAAGATAAATTTTCAGTAACTACAGTGTCTACTATATTTTGACAAAAATAAGCCCTTAACTATAAAAAAAAATTGCCATAAAACAGCATCATATTTTGTTTTCGTTAATAAAACCACCACCTGCCTTAATTACTGCTTTACAAATTCTTGTCATTCTTCCCAACTATTTTTGGAAAAAAAGTAGAAAACAGACCTTCCCAAGCATTCTTTAAGAACTAAAAATGCACACTCTCACTGTTTATGTATTCTCTTTGAATTCTCTTATCCAATTTATCTCATACTAATTCAATGGGAGAGATGTCAATTCATAATTTCCAAAATTTTGTTCCTTTTTTTGTTCTGTAATTTTGACATGATTTAGAAGAATGTTTTCGGTCGATGTCTTGTTGAAAAGTGATTTTTTTTTTCAATTATGCGTCAACTAGATGTCTCCACAAAATGAATAATATTGTCCTTTTTTTCCTGATTCTCTTGACCTGAATCAAAACTCCATCCCCTTTGGTAATCTCAGACAGTCTACTGTGTGGTTGATGGTGAAAACAAAATATAGTTTCTCATACATAATATTCCCAATTTAGCAAAATGTATTGTGAATAGATGAATCCAAATTCGAAATTTTTGGTAGTAAGAGAAGCCTGGAGAAAGAAAGAAAAAATAAAAGCAAATGCACTGTAGACACTGAAATTTTATCTTTTACTTTAATAGAAAATACATTATATGATTTTCAAATTTAATTACAAATTAAAAATCTGAAAAGTGCATATGCGTTTACTTCCCATTACTGTGAAACCCCCTAATCAAGGGCAACCAATTGCCTTCAAAAGTCACATAATCAGTAAATAGAGTCCACCTAATTTTAACGATTTCTTTTGAATTAAGGGAAGAGTGGAAAAGTAGTTACGATCCTTGATTCTGCACTCTGCATTTAAACACCCATGTTCTGTGAAACCCCAGAGATTTGTTAGCAGCATTATGAAGACGAAGAGTTCAGCATATATATATTCGTGTATTCGTGTGTGTTCGTGTGTGTGTGTGTGCGCGCGTGCGTGCGTGTTTCTGTGAGCATTTAGGCAGCTAATTCTCTTTTAGTTATGTCTGATTAAATAAACTACAAGCATTATGTCTACTTATTTTTATCATAATTCTTTCATTTTCCCGAATAATTTTCCGTATATTACAATCGATTCGTGAACTTGAAAAGATTAAGACTAAAATAAATAGAAATAATACGTCTAAGTTATTTAACAAGACATGCTTTATATATATATATATATATATATATATATATATATATATATATATATATATATATATATTTGAAATATATATATATTTCATATATATATATATATATATATATATATATATATTTAGATTATATATATTTCATATATATATATATATATATATATATATATATTTCAAATATATTTTCAAATATATATTTTCAAATAAGATTTTGTTGAATGTGATTAAGAAACGAAAGCTAGTAAATTTGCTCTGTTCATTCGAGATGTAACCCAGTTGTACATTTTAAGCCGCCATGGCAACTAGAGGGGTTAACACCTGTTGACCGAGTCACGAGAGGGTTCAGCCAAGCGTATCAGTGCATCCCCCAAAGTAATGTTATATAACGGAAGTTCGCTACTTCCGGTCGGGGAATTGATGCTGGCATCCTTTTGTTCTCATCCCGCAATGGCAGGCGTTGTTTGAGATTATATCAGGGAACTGCTAAGCGTGTTACGCAATCTACACTTAAACGGGGAGATGAACAGGTATTTAAAAAGGGAATTTCATTTCATGTCGCAAATGAATGAATAAAAAAGATTTATAGGATTTTTCAGAAACACAATTTTGAACGAAATAGCTTCGTTATGATTTTTTTAACAAATTGTTTTAAATCAAGTTAATTCGGTGTTTTCTTTCTTTTGATTTTTAATCATTTTCCTCCAAGCAAGGCGCTAAAGTCACTAAGGCACGAAAATGTAGGAAACTAAAAAAAAAAGGAGATAGAAGAGGACAATTGACGTTGCATTTAATTTTTGGAAGATCGAAGTCGACAAGAATGCAAGAAACTGGAAAAGATTCCCACAGGTGAGAAATTCTGGCCATCGCTTCCGAATATACAGGCGCAGACACTGGACGTTACGTAACAGAAAGAGGAATAGCGCACTTTCCCAGCACGAGATTTGCAATCACAATACACAGCAGACAATCGAGAAGGGCCGGAAGGTACGTAGCCGAAACGTTGTAATAAGACAAAACAATAAAGGCGACAAAATTAATCGTAAACAAAACTGACTAGAACACCTTCTTCTATATGTTTACTGTGTCTGTCACATTTAACAATTCTTCTATATCCGCCCAGCTGATTTCATGCTTTGTCTTAGTGCAATGCTTAGCAAACTGGTCTCTACTAAGAATGGTGTTGTAAAATACGGCAAGAGTTTGCTGGGTTTGGGGGAAATAGCTAACCGATTGCTCTCCCAAGAACTACAAGGGTAACATCAGAGAAGGGAAAGGGACGAGAGGAAACAAAACAAAACTGCCTTCGAAACTACAGCAGAAGGTGAGCGTCACACAACTTGAGGAACAGAAATGTCCAAGGGAACGACTTCACAAGAAACAGAGTCTCGCCAGCTGCTGGTTTTGACGTCGTTTTTATTGTCAGAAAACAGCCAACAAAGACCCGGATCTGGACAAATTGCAGCGAGGCCCGTACCTGGACATGCCAAGCTGTTCTGCTGCTAACGGTGAAAACCCGAATATAACTGGTTTTGACATACATGTCCGCTCACGATTCGAGTCCTCGTTTGTGTCTGTTCTGGTGCGCGTTCTCCACATGGTTTCGACGAGGACATGTGGATGGTGTAAAGGATATCGGCGAACCGAGTTCGAACTCCAGACTAGTCTAGTGCTTTCACTTTCGCGCAAAATACTCTTGGAGATAGTATGAATTTGTCTCTTCTCACCGCCTCTTCTTGTGGATGTAAATCGCAGGGCATACTGGGCTCTCAAAGCTTAGTTGGCAATCAATTTAAGATAATGAAAACTGGATTCCAAATTATAGAAAAGGCTACTATCTTTTTCAAGACT